TATTAAAGATAGTTTATGATATAAAATGCTAGTAAGAGGATGCATAGTCATTTCAAAATTCCAGTATCATACAGTATCATACATGACGTTTCTGATAGTTTATAATATAAAATACTAGTAATAGTTTATGATACAATATACAAGTAGGTGGGTGCAGAGTCATTTCAAAGTTCCAATATCATACTAACGAGAAGCACGCAGGTCACACGACGTTTATGATACAAAATACTAGTAAGTGGGTGCATAGCCATTTCAATGTTCCCATATCATACTAACGAGAGGGACGTAGATCACATGATGTTTATGATATAAAATACTAGTAATAGTTTATGATATAAAATATTGGTCACACGACGTTTCTGATAGTTTATGATATAAAATACTAGTAATAGTTTACGATACAAAATACTAACTAGTAAGTGGGTGCAAAGTCATTTCAATATTCCAATTTCTTACTAATGAGAAGCACGTAGGTCACACGACGTTTATGATATTTTATGATATAAAATACTAGTAATAGTTTATAATACAAAATACTAGTAAGTGGTATATAGTCATTTCAAAGTTCCAATCTCATACTAACAAAAGCCACGTAGATCACATGACGTTTACGATATAAAATACTAGTAATAGTTTATGATATAATATACTAGTAAGTGGATGTATATTCATTTCAAAGTTCCATTATCATTCTAACGAGAGGCACGTAGGTCTTATGACGTTGGTGTCCAATAAGAAGCTGCTAACTGTAAACAGAGTCGAGTAATTAAAAGGTAAATAAGCACAGGAAATAAATGTGCGGAATAAGATGCAAAGAAGAATAGACTGTTGACATGTATACACGTATGAGCATACGCAGCAGAGTGAAATCAATGATAACATAAGGAAGAGTTCAGAAGTCACCTGATAAGCCTACACAAAATTGAAATTTTCAACTGTATTGCATCTTAAAATAGAATTCAAAGCATTAGATATTGGCACTGTGAAAATTGAGGTTTTAGTTTTCTCTCAGCAGAAAAGCAGTATACGGCCGTAGATGTTTGTCTTCGCTGAGGATATCATAATGAAAAATATTGCATGAGCTCCACAGTTGGTACCAGATTTGAAGAATTTTTCATTAGTGTTAGGTAGAAATTTGTGAAGCAGTTGAATTTTTAGATCAGATATAAAACTTTATTTTTTACAAAGTAATGAGCGTTCTCGATCACGCGTAGAAAGCGGTTTTGTACTGATTTTAGTTTCTTTACATCTTTCGTAGTGGCGGCAGCCTAAGCAAGTTATAATTGAAAGAATTCCATGTTAACTGCAGTTACTTTATATGATTAGTGGCGCCATCTTCTATTCATAATAATAACCATTCTATTTTTGAAGCTTTTTCCAGAAAAGAAACAAAATTCAATATTTTAAAAACCTATTAGATTACAAACTTTGAAATATCCTAAATGGATTTGCCCTCGATGATTTAATCTATTGATATATCCAAATTCGTAGTTAATAGAGTTCATGTAAATGAACTTGTGTACCTTTTATCCGGGAAAAAAAGGATACTCTATGTTTTACTTGAATTACATGAGATATTATGCATCGTTCAGTTGAATTACATGAAACCATACATAATTTAATTATGTGCACTTTAATGATGTAATATGGCAACGGTCTTTAGCTTTTCGCTATAAATTAATATTAATATAGTATTTCCTTTAAAATGAACGTTTACTTGATTCAAAAAATGTTAAGTTAGAAAACAATTATTAAGAAAAATAATGCTTTATTTATGCCTTGAATTTTTGAAATAAGAAAATAAGCTTTAAAAGTTTTCTTCTGTTTTAAGTAAGAACATATAAAATACGCAGTTCGCTGCCTCTGTTAGAAACATAAATTATATTCTACTTATGTGAATTATTCAGATCATCGCCCCAAATTTCGAAATAATAACAGCAATAGCCATGAAGGACGGAGTGAATGTTAAATGAAATGTTGTAATTATTCAAAACCTCCAAAACATTGTGAGTAATTTATATCGGCTGTGAAGAAAGAGTTTTTATTTTTCTTTCCTTACAAACTAAGAGAAAGCCGCATTTTGCAAATATTTCCCATCCAAACGAAAAAAAAAAAACTGAAAGCTTTCAAATTTTATATTACTCCAAATGGGCGTTTTTATCATTTATATACATACAGACGTTCTGAGAGCATTTCAGCTAATGTTCCTTTGGGCTAAAAATATTTAAAAATAGGGTATCTTTAGAATTTCCGATAGGCACTCTTGCGCGCTGGAGATTGAAATGTTTTTTACCGTACAGTTTTGCTATTGAAATCATTGAGTTCGTTAAACAAAAATTCACTAAAATTTTACAAAATTTGAAATACATAATACAGTATTTGAAAATAGCATATCTTTAGAATTCCCGATAGACAGTCCCACTCGCTGGAGATAAAAATGTATTTTCCTGTAGTGTTGCTATTGCTTGCTTTGAAATCATTGAGTTTGTTAATCAAATATTTATTAAAGTTTTACAAAATATGAAATACACAACAACAAAAATTCTAAATTCAAAATTCAGCTTCCAGGTGTCCACATTCGGATGGAGGACTATGTCATTCAAAATTTGATGGCTCTAGGTCCCGTTGTTTTATTACAATGCGAGAAACATACTTAAATTTATGCAGATTCTTCATTATTTAATTTCTTTAAATATAATACAGGGCTCTAATATTTCGTGGCAACAATTAAAAATGTGATTCGCCGTTTATAAAGAAATAACGCGAAATGCCAAAACGGAGTTAATAGCCCTTCTGCGCAAATTGCGCCTTTGGGCTTAAAAATAAATCTGGAAATCTAAAAGGTCCCATATTTTACATTACGTCCAGAGTAGCATTTTTTAACGTTTTGTGTTCTACCTTTACTTATGAAATACAGTACAAAGTCCGTAATCCGGACTCGTCAGGACTGCGGCTGTTCAGAATTAGGGTTTTTTCCGAATTATGGATCATCAATTTAAATCTGGTAAGATGGCATGCAAAATTAATACAATTAAAAATATGAAACCGTAATTTATGAAATAAAGAGCAATTATGATATAAAGGGTATCCAATTTTACAGAAAAAAAAAAAAAAAGCTTAATATTTATTTGTTTACCTTATTAAACATTTCTTTCAACGCGCGCATAGGTAAAGCATACATTTACGCATAGTCGAAATTAGAAAATTGCAACCAGAAAACTATTTGATGTATAGTCGTGATATTTATAATGACGAGGAAATTTATTTAAATCATATCAAAGACGAAATACATTAAGAGCAAATACTACACTTAGGAATCATAAGCCGAATAAAATAAAAACATCTGCCCTGAAGATGAGGATAGTGCTGACAGATTAACTTCCAGTTCATTGCGCGCCGCGACGTTCCCCCCCCCCCGCAGAGCAGCCTGAAATTGTACGCAAGTAATATCGTGCTAAGTAGAAAAAAATGCGGTTCATTTAGACAATGTCCGGACTTAAACGACACTTAAAACCTAGTGAATCGCTTTCCGAATATTTAATTGCCATGCGTGAAATAACCAATAGTGGTTCTGCGGATGATTCATCAATTTTTGATTATGTAATCAATGGGATACCCGATCAGAGTAGTAACAAAATTATTTTGAATGAGTGTAAAACTATTTCTGAATTCAAAGAGAAATTAAAAATTTATGAGAAAATTTGAGTTCCAGATACGAAGAATAAGGGTTATTTAAGTACTAACACACAAAATAAAGCACGCGCTATACCTAATAAGAGTAACGAACCAAGGTGTTATAACTGTGGAAATATAGGGCGCGAAATGTATGCGCATTCTTTAGGCGCATGCGTAAAGCATACAAAAAAAAAGTTTGTGGCTGTGAGGTCCGGATTATAGATGACTTAGGATAATGGACGTCCGGATTACGGACTTAGTACTGTATCATGTTCTTCGCACTTAAACTATAAAATTCAATTCAACAGCAATATTACAAAATATTTAAAAGAGCATATCTTTAGAATTTCCGTTACACAGTCTCGCATGCTGGAATTTTTTTTGTACGATGATGTCATTGCTCGCTTTGAAATCGTCTCAAAAATTGTTTAATGTTTGATAAAACACGAAATCTCAAAAACAAATGCCAAACTCAATTTGGGCTTTCTGAAGTCCATATTCGAGAGGAGGGCTACGTTATTCCAAATTTAATGTACTTAGGTACCGTTGTGTTTTCATTGTGGGAGAAACGTTTACGTTCATACAGATTCTTCATTACTGAAAGTGAACCGACGCAAAATGCCAAACCGAAATTAATAGCCCTTCTGGGCAAATTGCCCCTTTTGGTTAGAAAAAAAAGATTTAAAAAAAAAATAAAATAAATAAATAAATAATAAAAAAAAAAAAATCTGAAATGTTTCAGATTTTAAATTACTTCCAAAGGGGCGTTTTTTTTAACATTTTGTGTGTTACCTTTCTTTATTAAATATCATGTTCCTCGCACTTAAACCATAAGATCCAGTGCAACAGCAATATCGCAAAATAGTTTTAAAACGAGCATATCTTTAGAATTTCCGATAGAGACTCACGCGCTGGAGATAAAAATGTTTTTTTCTGCACAACGTTGCCATTGCTCGCTTTGAAATCCTTGAGTTTGTTAATCAAAAATTCGTCAAAGTTTTAAAAAATAGGAAATCGATCATAAAACAAATTTCAAATTTCAAATTTGGGCTTCCACATGCCCATATTCGCAGTAGGGTTACGTCATTCAAAATTCGATGGTTCTGTGTACCGTTGTTTTATCACAATGCGAGAAATAGACATACATTTAAGCAGATTTTTCATTATTCAATTTCTTCAAATATAATGCAGGACTCTAACATTTGGTGGCAACAGTTTGCAAAGTGAAACGGACATTTATAGTGAACCAATACAAAATCACAAAACGAAAGCAGTATTACAAAAAAGGCAAAATACAAAACGAAAGTCTATTCAGGGACAAAGCCCGTTTGGACGTAAAAAAAAAAAAAAAAAAAAAAAAAAAAAAAAAATAGTGACTTTAGAATTATATCTTATATAACCAGCATTACTCTAGTTGTTTGGTACTTATTTGGTAACCAACGTACCTATTGCTCTTACTAGCAATACGATACGTATGTATAATACGATAATACGATATGTATACACGTATTTAATAACAATAATACGATATGTATGCAAAAATTAATTTAATATACAATATAATAAATTAATACGATATGTATTTAATATCATAACGATGTTGTAACTTATACTCTGAACTCCATATAGTATATTGCAATATAAAGATTTACAAGTTGTCCTTAAAGTATTATAAAATGTATGTATTATGCGTTATCTATTATCATGCTGCAAGCATATCTTCGTTTATTGTATTGTAAAGATGATCTATCTATGTACCATAAATTAATATATGTATCTCCTTCACAATCGTTTATTGTATTGTAAAGATGACCTTCATTATGTACTCATCATATCAGATAACAATAATGAAAATGGTTTATATAAAAAATGTTATTTTTGTTATTTAAATAGCTTTGTTAAACTAATGCAACGTATTTGATGTAATATGTATCTAATTCGTAGGTGTTTCAATAAGGTCTTCAGTGTAATGAAACCCTGAAAATCCTTACCTGCTATATGTTTTATTATTATTATCTAAGCAAGAGATGTCTTCGGTTAATGTATACTTTGTATACATGTATCAGCTGCAGTAACGAAAGATGTTCAGGTATATACTTATATTGTTCTAAAACTTTTTAGGGGAAAAATAGTGTGGCATCAATTTAAATCTTCTGAAATATAGCTGACAGGGTTTAACTGAACAAAATGAAATGAAAATCTATTTTATAAGAACTTATCTCTTTATATCAAGAAATCTTGAACTTGCAGTAACAAAAAACAATCTTTATTAGTAATGTTAGACACGAGTATTTAAAGGGAAAAAATATCAGAATGCTAGCGAAAATGATTGTAATGGACAGGTTATGAAAGTTGATGCGAAGAGGTCGTTGTACCCGCTTTCTTTCACTGCCAGATTTTATCTGTATTCAGGTATTACTGACTGGGTGTTCTGACACGGCATTGTCCCACGTAGTATTGCAAAAAACGTTGTCCGTTTATCTGAAAGAGTAAAATAAATTTAAAAACAAATTATCCTTATTTACTTATGCAGTAAAAAAGATATCTTAAATATAGAAATGATAAGAACTTCTATCAAAGTTAACACGGTTTCACAGTTTCGCTTTATTGCATAATGCTTTTCGAAGTGCTAAATATTGCTTTTCATGAAAGTTAAAAGTGGATATTTAGCATTACAATCTCACAGTCCTTTCCTCCTCACATTATTACAAGGTTTGAAATTAATGCTCCTATTGCTGAAGTGCAAAAAGCAAGTATTTGGAACAACTTATTAATCTTTGACTAGATACTAAGTCTTTTGTTAATAAGCATAAACTTCTTTTAAAGTCTGCGTGAAAGTATATATGACCAATGCCATAACCCGCCGTTTCATAATTTTCCTTTCTGTATTATCTACTTTTTCAGAGTGTTTCTATAAAGGATATGCTAGTTTCTAATAACTCTCGCTCATGAATTTAATAAAGAAGCTGATGGAAACAGTTCCGGAAGCAAAAACTCGAGAGAAAACAGTGTTACAATTTATTGCCACTAATGTGTTTTACGTAAAATTTTTATCGACTCAAATAAAGTATACTTCTCATATTTACTCAGGTGAAACAAAACATCGTGAAAGAATTTTATTATTAGGCCTGATAAAGAAGGAAAAGAGCTTTATATATCTCTGAAATAGGAGAAGACTCTGTCTTGACATATTAAAAGTTAAGTTAAAGGATATTAAAAGAAAATATTAATATAAAAATACGATTAAAAACAAATAATAAATACAGAACGAACAAAAAAAAAAAAAAAAAAAAAAAAAAAATCTGAAAGGTTTCAGATTTTAAATTACGTCTAAAGGGGGGTTTTTTACGTTTTGTGTGTTACCTTTAATTATTAAATATCGTGCTCTTCGCACTTAAACCATAAAATTCAGTTCAACAGCAATATCGCAAAATAATTTTAAAATGAGCCTACCTTTAGAATTTCCGATACAAAGACTTACGGGCTGGAGATAAAAATGTTTTTCCCCCCGCAGAGTGTTGCCATTGCTCGCTTTTAAATCGTTGAGTTTGTTAATCAAAGCTTAAAAAATATGAAATCGATCACAAAACAAATTCCAAATTTCAAATTTGGGGTTTCAGATGCCCAAAACCACAGTAGGATTACGTCATTCAATATTGGATGGCTCTAGGTACCATTGTTTAATCACAATGCGAGAAACATACCTACATTTATGCAGATTCTTCATAATTTAATTTCTTCAAATAAAATACAGGGCGATAGTATTTGGTGGCAACGATTTGAAAACTTAAGTGATACACCGTTTATAGTGATTCGACGCAAAATCACAAAACGAAAACAACAGTCCTTCAGGGACAAAGTCCCATTAAACTAATAAATAAAACTGACATCACGACACCATTTTCTCTTACTTAGCATATTCTAGCATAAATTTATACACAGATTCTTCTTCTTTATTTTTGCCCTATATCTTTATTTTGCAATGTAAAAATGAACGCATTTTAAAAGTAGCTCCTTCTTATCTGAAACATGTTTAAATTTAAAATTATTTTATTTCCTTTCAGAACATAATGAGATTTTGTGAGTGCCATATGTTAAAGAAATTAAATCTTAGTACTTTGGTTTCATACATAACTCCCATTCATCGCGACACAACGGGCAGATTATTTATTAATATTCATCTTTAAATCAATCAGCGGGCTCCGGTGATTCTATTTTTTATAGAAATTCCAGCTGGAGTCCAAGATTGAGCTGGGGTTTTTAATTTGTCATTAATTTTATATAATTTATTAAAATTTTATTTATTTTTAGCATAATTGTACAGAAGAGCTATTAGTCTCTAAACGATATTTTGCGTCGACTCAATTTAAAAGTCCGAATCGCTTTTCAGATTGTTGCTACCAAATACTATCGCCCTGTATTTTATTTAAAGAAACTAAATTAGGAAGATTCTGCATGAATGTGTGTATGTTTCTCGCATTGGGAAAAATCAAAGGTACCTAGAGTCATCAAACTTTGAATAACATAGTTCTCCACCCGAACATGGGCACCTGGAAGTCCGAGTTTGGAATCTGTTTTATTTGTCTGCTTCATATTTAGTAAAACTTTAACGAATTTCTGATTAAAAATCTTGACAATTTCAAAGCGAGCAGTAGTAACACTATAAGAAATAAAACATTTTTATCTTCTGTCTATCGGAAATTCTAAAGATATGCTATTTTTAAATACTTTTAGCTCAATGTGGCGTTAGCCCAAATGCGCTTGAAAGATGTATGTGTCTGTAAATGAAAAAAAAAAAAAAAAAAAGAAGGGGGTCGTTTACGCGTAATATAAAATCTGAAAGCTTTCGGGTTTTTATAACTTTCTTAATTAATTGATTATTTACCTTTTATTTAATTATTAGTTATTCATTGTTCTGTTTTCTCTTTCTTGATTACCTTATGTAGGACTCCAAGACTTATCAACTTTATTAGAAGTATGACCATTAAGAACACGGTAAAATTTTCTTTTGAAATAAAAGCTCCCTTTGAAATATTATTTTGAATTAGAGTTTTTTTTAATATTTTGCATAAAAATACAGAATTTTTATGCAGTCTCATAATAATAATAATAATAATAACAATAACATTGCTTATATAAATTAAACTTGGATTTGTTAAATTTGACTAATGTAACTAGGTACACTTAATCTCCTTTTATAACTTGCTTATATTCAATAAATATGCATGCGGAAAAAGTGCTCAAAATAATCACTTTTACCATCGAAAGTCATCAAGAAAAGTCACATAAAGCGACCTGTTATCTCAACAGCTTTCTCAGACTATTTGACATATGACCCCGTTTCATCAAATGAATTTTTCTCAGGCTCCTCATTTGAATAAATACGTAATTTGTTGAAAAATTCAATTTGAAATGCATTTACGATACGATTTTCTGAACTTTTGAAGGGTAATAAAACTCTTAAAATTAAATTATTTGCAATTAACAAAAAATATTAAACGATACTAACTTACTACTAACTAATATTTTAAACTCGCGTCTTTTACGAGCTTCCTGACAGGTATATAATTTTATAAATTCGGTTATACATTTATTTCTACATTTATTTATTTTAGCTTTGAAATATTTCTGTCACCTGCAGTATGTAGTATTAAACAATGATCTGGTTAGTATCGCCATCTAGAAGCGAGAAAGTGAATTATTATAAGGCGTAATAATAAGCAGTAGCATTTTTCAGTTATACAATTTTCCGTTAGCACTTTGATTGCTCTATCATTAAGCATTTAATATTCTGTAACAAATTAAATTCGGATAAAAATATCAGTATTTTCATAAATATTATGTTAAAAGTACTTTACGAATTTAAAATTTCGTGCGTTTTTTAATGTATTAGATAAAATTTTAAGTATTCGTATGGAGAAACAAATATATAATATTAAAAATGTTATTAGTTAATTCTCAACCTAACCTGATTGCCATTCATAACTGACAAAATTTGGTAATTTAAATATTTTTTCTTATCAGTTCATTTTGGCAGTATAAAGGTTCGCTCTTAAAAACTGTGGCTCATTTGTCAGTTTCTCTGGCACGGTTTTTAACATTAATACAAGACACTGAAGACGAAAAAATGTTAAGAAATGACGAACTGCATAATAATAGTATTAAATAATATATTATCTTAGTAGTTTTGATTTTAATAAATGAGAGAAAAGAATAATTTGAATTTAAAAACCGAGAAAAAATTTTTCTCTTAGAGAGCAAAATTGTTGCACTCAAGTAGAACGTTGGAGTAGCTTGAAAAAGAGAGACAAATCGAAGTCTTTTCTAAAATGAGGAGTGTAAAAGGGTACATTTTTACAAAGAAACTCAATACAACATTAAAGTTTGCTTAATTTAAAAAAGCTTTTTTGTGTTATTTATACGTAGCGCTAATCTTGCTTAGAGAACATTTATTATCCAGAAGTGCACAACGTGCACTGAGCACTCGAAAGCTAAACATTTTGGTGATTTTTACACGTCCAGAAGATGACATGCTAAATGTCACCACTAGCATAACTCTCTAAAGACATGGTGTAACTGAGCCTGTCACCAATAGCATAGTCATTTAAATACTTTTCGCAATTTAGCATGCCATTGAGTCAAAATCTAAACACTTGGTCTAAACACTTGACTTGCATTTAAACACTTGGTATTTAGTCATGTAGAAACGTTTTCCCCTAAGTGGAAGTCAGAGAGAGAGAGAGATGAGGCAGGGGAGGACTTGGCAAAAATAAGTTTAAATGGAGGAAGCGAAACGTCGCCGTTATTTGCCATTGTTGGAATTACAAATAGTAACATTTGCACTTATTTCTGAGAAACAAATTATCCGTCTCTTAAGAATTCGGTTACTTTAACCGCGGATTGTTTTTAGCAGCTCATTTATAGTAACAGATTATTTTTTAAAGTATATTAAAAATTTCTCGAGAACTATAAAGTAAATTTTCTTTCACTTTTTTTAAAAAATTCTATTCAATAAAAGTCAGTTTGATGTTAAACAGTGTAAAATAAATCTTAATTTTCATAAAAAAGAAAACCTTTTGATTCCCCTAATTTTTTTCCCGTCTGTTTTAGCAAAGAAAATCTTAAAAAATTGTACTGAAAAATATAAAAGTATTTGAACTAATTTAGTTTTGTTCAAGCACATATGTTTCGTTTCAGAAAATATTTAAAATATATAATAAGTAATTTAGTGTAATTGGTGCACTGATAACAAGCCTTAACAAATTGTGAATATATATATATCTATATATATATTCATGCATAAGGTATACTGCAATACTGCAGTGTTATTCTGGGGCTCAGCAGCACTTCGAGAGCAAATACAGAGTTCCTTACGGGGCCTTAGAAAAATGGTATATGAAATGTGCCCCTCGTAGGTCTCGGATGGTGAACACTAGATATACAAAGATGACAAGTCATTTAAAATTTTTAGGTACTTATTTTAAACATTATTTTTCGTTAAGTTTTGGTAGACCGCACAAGTAAAATTTATTTTATGAAAATATATAGTTTTATGAAAGTTTTTTTTTTTTTTTTTTTTTTTTTTTGTTATTTTAAACGTGTTCTGTCACTTTAGCAAAATTTCTGAGAAGGAATTTCAGAAAATTACATTAAAAGAATTCGAAGCTCATTATACAGCTCTGAAAAACGTCAATTTTTTAGTATAAACCTGTGCAATTAAAAATTTAGTAACGAAATATATAGCAAATATCATACTTGAAACAAAGATTTCATATTCTTGCACAATAAATGACCCATATGACAGCTTAAAATTATTGCATAAACTTCTTAAATTTAATTATTATATTATTATAGTAAGTCTGCTGTTTATTTTATTTTCTCTGTTAAAATGTGCTTTTTAGGTGGTAAGATGAATAGTAATAAATACGATATAAAAATGCAATGAACCTTTCGCCTAATGATGCAGTTATTTAACGTTACCTGTTTGTTCTCCTTATTTTTTATTTAGTTTTTCATTTTATCAAATAATTTACTGTCAGATAACCACCATACTCAATATTTCAACATAAGATACTTTATTACTTATTTTTTTTATGTATTTAAGGAATGTGTAGTCTTCATTAAATATGCATCAAGTTCGAATTCTCTTGCGTGAAGATATTCCTTATGAATATAAAATTTGTTACTTTTCAGATAGAAAAGTACAAATTAAATATTGTGCTAATTGTGTGTAAATATATATATACAACTAAATTAAATAGTGTGCCATTTATTAATATTTATTGGCCTTCAATAAGTCTTTTTTTCGTAACAGTAAACTGTAAAAGATTTTAAGGAAATACGATAATGAGTTAAATGAATAATACCATATTTGATTGCACGTAATTAAGGCATTAATTATCAGATTCGGATTTGTAGGGTTCTACATTCCGATTTTGAATGGCTTTGCCTTACAAAGATGAGCCTCAGAATCATTAGTAAATTAATAAAATAATAATAATAATAATAATAAATCTGAAAGCATTAAGATTTTATATTACCCCCAACGGGGGCGTTTTTTTCTTAACGTTTTGTGTGTTACTTTTATTTATTAAATATCATGTTCTTCGCACTTAAACCATAAAATTCAATTCAACAGCAGTATCGCCAAATAATTTTAAATTGAGCATAACTTTAGAATTTTCGATACGCAGTCTCGCGCGCTGGAGATAATTTTTTTCCCCCGTACAGTGTTGTCATTGCTCGCTTTGAAATCGTTGAGTTTCTTAATCAAAAAATTCGTTAAAGTTTTACAAAATATGAAATAGATAATAAAACAAATTCCAAGTTATGACATCCAGATCCCCATATTCTAGTGGGGGACAACTTATTGAAAATTTGATGTCTCAAGACGCCGTTGTCTTTTGGCAACGCGAGAAACATACATACATACATTCATGCAGATTCTTCGTTTTTGAATTTCTTTTAATGTAATGCCCATCTTGGGGCCACTAATCTGAAAAGTGAACCGCCATTTATAATGAACCAACTCAAAATGCCAAAACGAAATTAATAGCCCTTGGCACAGAGTAGACAGAGTAGGTTTTATTATTAGTCCTTTGGGCTAATAATAAAACCTACTCTGTGTCTTAATGTTAGCAACCCTCGCATAGCCGCTATTGTTAATTGTAATGAATGCTACTGTATAATGCTTATGCTGATTAGCCAGTCTTTGGATAATTAATGCCATAAATATATTAATGTATTACAGTAAAATTTATTTAAAGATTAACCCTCATTTCATTTCATTGCTTGAAAACTTACCATTATCCTGTCGTCAACGGCTATCGTCCCTTTTGGTAGATTTTAATTTAGGGTATATAGTGCACAGGAGCTGCTCCAGGTGCAGCAACGTACTTGTAAGGGGATTGAGGGTAGTAGTAACTGCCGTACGAGTAGGAGTAGGAACTAACTGGCTTGTAGTAACTTGGTGGGTAGTAGTAGTGAGCATAAGGGTAATAGTAACCAGGATACGGGATAACTGGAACGTTCACTTCCTTCTTTTCACCTTCCTCGGCCAATGTGTAGCTCATGGCCAGTGCAAAAATGGAAAAGAGGGCCTGTAACATTTGAGGAAGAAACATTTTAACAATAAAAAGTCGCTTTTGCAAAGCGATGTAGAGTGTACAATAAAGCAATACATATTAATATCTAAGCAACAGATTTAAAACGTAAATTGTATAATACTCCAAGAAGTCACAAATTTTAAGATTTGAAAGTATTTTTATAGAATCTTTGGGAAAAAAATCATTTTTATGGAATCAAAAGCTTGTATGCTTCATTACCAGAAAACAATTCCTTCAGTGCTTGATTGTTACGCTGAATGCTGAAACGCTGCAACAGAAGTTGCATTCTCTGGAAACACCACTGTGTAACATTTATTAGGCTTATTTCTTTTATTTGCAACACATTTAGTTATTCGACACAAATGCCTCTGGTCTTTGACATCTAAATTTTCATGCCATAATAACGGAAGTTCCTTACAACAGAACGTCGATTACTCTATCGATAAATCAAAATTTTGGTAACTCAAAGTTGATGCTGAAGTGTAGAACCGAAATTAATATCACTTTTTATTAAAAAAATGATTTTTGATTTTTCAAATCTTTTCTGTTCTTCTTTCGGCTTTAGACTATTGAAGTTCCAGTGTAATTTTGAGATTAAAAGAATGAGTCAGAAATTTACAGACTCTTTCTCAAACGAAGATTTTTAATGTCTCTTAACATTTTATTTATTCACATCCAAATGCAGAATATGCAGCTGTTAACATTACAGCAAGATACCTGCAGAATGTTAATTCAAGATATCTGCAGAATGTAATTGTTAACATGACATTCTGAAGGTATCTTGAATTTTACATTGCCCACAGGAAGGCAAGACATTTTCACAACTATGACAGCGTTTTACAGATAAATTAATTATTAATGTAACACCTATATATAAAAATATTTTTGCATTAATAAACATATTAATTAAAGTCTTATGTTTTTTCCATTACCTCGTAGAGACTATTTAGACTTTTTGGATCACGAAATATGATAAATCAACTGTGCTTTCACTGGGCTCGAGCCACTGATCTTCCAGGTGTTATTTAGATGTATTAACATTTTACATTTTGGCAACTAGCGTAGGAATATGCAATGATTACTGGCATTCTGTCTTTTAACATTTTACTGCGCGTACGATATAACAGTCAGGAAGTACTGAATTTGTAATATATTTATTTCCTTTCTTTGAACGTAGTTTCGTACATTCAGATTTAGTACGTTGACTAATATTTAAAAAAAATTTAATTTAATTCTAAATTAAAATAAATAGATCTCTTTATTTACATGCACATTTGTTAATTTCAGTTATTATTATTAATTTTTTCTATCAGTTTTGCCCTTTTCTTCTCTACATGCGAAAGCAAGAAAATGTAAGAAATTTTTGATCCTTAATGGCTGAAAAATGTAGAAAGAAAAAGATGAAAATGGCCAAAAAAAAAAAAAAAGAAACCCGGAAATTGTAGTTAATGGAAAGAAATGGGAATATTATGTAAAATCATAGCTTTTGGTTAGAGAAAGACCAAAATTTCACAACAGCATTATTTTGTTTTCTCTCCTCGTTTTTTTTTTTTTTTTTTTTTTTTTTTTTTTTTTTTTTTTTTTTTTTTTTTTTTTTTTTTTTTTTTTATTTTTTTTTTTTTTTTTTTTTTTTTTTTTTTTTTTTTTTCTAGAAGGATTTTAAAATTTCTGAGTTATATTTTCAGGGCCATAGGATAGTAATCACTGCATAACGTTGATGGGCATTTTCCCCACCAAAGTCCGAATTGTAAAAGCTGCTGAAAGCTGGTAGTTCGGCCTGAGCTTCAAGTCCCCGCGAGGACGGGCTGGCTTCATGAGCGTTATTGTGCCTTTCCCCATGTGTAACATGTATATCAGCCAGCTTCTCATTACAAGAACTCCAAGATGCATCTCTTCTTGTACTGTAGTGCCTAAAGACGGAGCCCTTGATTAATTAACAAACTAACTAAAAATAAAACGGAGTATTAACATTTTAAAAAATTCTTCCAAAAATAAATTTGAAAAATTCATTGTGATTTTGGGATCTGTTCCTTAATAAAAAGCTACAATTTTACACAATTTTATTTTTTGCATTAATAGAAATTGCCATTACTTAATTTTTTTTTTCCATTTTGTCTTTTGGCCTCTAGGTTTTCTAGCAATGAAGGATAAAATTTTTCTCTTACAGTTAAATTGCTTTATCACTTTTATTTGTAGCAGCGTTATGCTCACAATTAAGGAGATTTATTTTCATTTTTGAATATTTTTTATGTATATATAAATTAGAGGAGAAAAAGACTCAGCATGAAAGTTATTACTAGTAAAATTTCACATATTTCGTTGTTATTTAACTTAACTATTCAAAGTCATTCTGTATCAGACTTAACTATCGTAATATTTGCTATTAGTATCACACGCTGCTATTTATTACAGACTCCTGCATAGCCAACTAAGGTCTGTATTAGTTTTGGGTTATAAATTGTGAAAAGAAGTGGGAAAACATACAAGAGAAAATTGAAAATAAGGATGATTGATTCATATATTCTTGAAGTTCCTTACATTTATTTCTCTTTTCTTTTGAAAATTAAGTGTTAGAAAGCATGCGATAATTTTGGATTCTCAAATTTCTCACTTTGATTAACTTTTAGATATCATGAAAGAAACCTCATCAAGATGTACTTTATTTTTCGTGCTTGGATTTCAAAACAGAAACTGCTGTAACCTGACGGAAATATTTGTTGCAAGCCTCCTGCAGGAAAGTTCCATTGGAATAAATGAATGCCTGTCTTGAACAAGAGGTCTTTCTTTATTTAATATTCGCATAAATATTTTCTGAGAAAAATGTGTGATAAAATAATATATAAAAACTTCGTTTTCAAACATTTAGCTTAACTATTTTGAATGGCTAATTTTAAACATAAGATTTTATGTCCTAGTCTTAAACCTTTGAGGAATAATTTTTAAATAGTACGCTTAAATGCAATTGCTTAGCTTAAAGTTTTATAAATATTAAATTAAAATCTGTATACCAAGAGCATTTGCATGTCTTTAATCTTATTATTTCTGTACATTTATTTTAGCATACTAAATGTTTAATAATAATTTGTTTCAAAGTTTTATACTAAATTCTAAAATTTTGAGACAGCAAAAGTTTAATTTTTTAACTTTACGTTTTGAAATGTACACGAGTAGTACATTAGGTGAAGAGTAATAATAGCTTCCTCTCATTATTACTATTCAATATATATATTGATAATTTATCAATATTGGTAATATATAAACTGATAAATTATCAATATTGTACCTTGGCGTATACAATATTCATAATGTATCATGAAATATTGATAATTTATCAATTTTTCTGCCTTTCTAATAGTTTCCATACATGCATGCGTACCATACATGCATGCGTTCCATACGTACAAATGAAGAAAAAATATTATGTATATAAACTTAGATTTAAGAAGATATTTTTGACATTACTTCTAGACATGTACGTAAGGAGATGAAGTGTAAAATATGGCTTCCTCTTATTATTACTATTAGTGATAATATTTATAATTTGAAGATACTTTTCTAACAGTTTCCTTACATGCATGTAGGTACAAATGAAAGAAATTTTATTATGTTCATAAAGTTAGACATAAGAAAGTAGGTACACACAGACTGCTAATTGCAATTAGGTATGTAGTCTTATATCGTATACTACGGTACTTATAAAATGTGCGTAATCTTACAGTACGTGTGACATAGATACTTCATTCACATGCTTGGAGATTTGAAGAGTTAGAATGCTAATCAATAACTTTCCTAACTTTAAGATTTTTAACATGCAGCATGAATTTCAGAATAATATGTATAGAAGAACTGTCCAGGATAATAAATGATGGATATTTAAAAATATATTTCTAATAACTGGTAATTCATAAACTATAATTATCTTCTTAATTCCTGTATTGAATAATTATCGATAATTATTATTAATAAAAGCTTTTAAATTACTAAAAGTTCTCATTTTTTGTTGCAGTATAAAGTTTGATCAATAAAGTAATAAATTTATCTTTCGGCTTCATAAAATACTTCTATTACTGGATATGTTGGAAATTACAAATAAATCGAATGAGGTGAATTCACCACCAAATTTTACGGTATATCAACATATTTCGGGAAACTAACAGGAAAACGTTTTTCTTATTAGACAACATATGATGAAATGTAAAGCCAGATAAAGCAAAAAAGTGTAAGTTTCTTTAGCTTCATATACCTACGAACTCTAAAATGGCAGGGATTAGTTACTGTTCATTAATAATCTATTTAACAGCTGTAGATTTTGAGTATAAAAGTCGTAAAACTTGCTTTTTGAAGTATATTTGACTCTGGTCAATAATCATGTTAACTGATTATTTTGCTTATTCATTCGGTACTATTCTCTTGCAATTTTTTAGTATAATTTAAAAAACTATAAAATCTATTTGATTTGAGTTCTTACGATTACAATTTAGATTTTAAAATTTTACTTACCAAAGTCTTCATTTTGTTTTTCAAAGCAGCTGAGCAATCGTCTGTCGAGGCAGAAATAATTTCACCGGGGATGCAGACATCTTATATAGGGATGACTATAATTTTTTCAGAAATGAATAAAGAAATGAAAAAAAAATCTTTCAAAGCCCCTAATAGAACCTGATTGGAGAAGCACTGGATAAAATATTAGATAAAAAAATTACTGGTTTCTCAACCTGTGCTTTCAGTGAGAGGCAAAGTGGCGTATGAGAAGTCAGGTAAGACGAACGCTTGTTTTGAAGGAATCATCTATAGATCAATTTTGAAATCGCCTAATTACTACCTTAGTAATAAAGAAACCGAAACATTGGAACTAGATTAATATTCTGAAATTTGACGAATAAAAATGCTCTTAAATATTCGTTACATACACACGTCTTGTAATGATACTAGGCAATAACTATAATAAAAAGAGGAATTCTAAGTATGTATTTCAGTACGAAGGTCAGCTAATTTGAATCTTCCAAATTTATTAAGGTTATTCATGTTTTGCTTTTTTTTTCCAAATAACAAAGTTACCTTATGTATTATTTCATGTGTTGTGTTATACGTATCGAATGAAATCAATCGAATTACGAGTAAAAAAAACTTCATTTGCTTAAATTAATCACGTCTGAAAGAGTTAATCTTCAATATACTGCAATCTCACCCATGTTCATTTTTAATTACGTATTTTACTTGTACTCTAAAAAAGTGTGGAGTCAGTGGTTTAGAATAAAACAATTAGAATGGATGAAGGGTAACTTTGTAACTATTTTTTTGTGATTATCAAATTAGTATTAGGATCAAGAATAATTGAATTTATTTAAAAGCGATGTATGAAGATTATACATACAACATCCTTTGATTAAGAACCATAGTCTTGAGGTGACTGCAATACTTGAGTTCCACCAGCTGGCCGAGCACACAAGCCCACTGAATACTGATGATTCATCCCAAGTTCGAATCCCAACGAATGGAGCAACAACACAGACTTTTTTATAGTTTTCACCAAGTGCAAAGTTAACAAGAGATAGTTTTATTTAGAAAGTTCTTTACGGAAAGGTCCCTGCCCTAGGCAGATAGCTTTCGTGTCATTTGTCAGTAATCTGGAGCAAAATCAGTATCTGAACAAAGTGTGTTGTTTATTAATGTTCCAGTCATCTAACTCCCCAAAATTGAGTTTCCACCTGGCTACTAGGGTAGGATTAATCTTAATGGATTTTTGCTTTGCATGCTGAGGAAAAAAAACGGTTTTTGAGAGCATTTTTTGACATTGGTTTACTGCCAAATCATATTTCTTGAATATTTGTAACCTTTGTAACTTTGTTCGCTTAGTGCAGTGGTTGGCAAAGTGCGGCTCCAGAGCCGCATGTGGTTCTTTGGCTTCTTAAGTGCAGCTCTGGTACAAATATCCACGGAAGGCGCAATAATATTTTCATTTAAAAAAAAACGGGGTAAGAAAAAGATTACATGTTATTTTGATAAATTAAAATTCTTCTATAAATCGAGAACATGTATAATTTTTTGTTTGAGTAAAAAGATAGACAGGTAATTAAAATTTTATATTGTTGTAAGAATACTTAAATAACATCGAGTTTAATTTTATTAGTTTTCGTAAACGTAAACCACGTACAAGCTGCGCGTTCATGCTTTTTATAAAGTAGTGAAGGTACAAATTGGTATCACAGAGCAGCAGTTGCAGCGTGAACAGTTTTGTCTTATCTACCGTGTCTGCCGTTGTCCTGTCTTATTAAAAAGTTGCTGTATTTTTTAATCTAGCTGCACATCTTACAGGTACTTTTATACGATTTTATTACACCTGCTATGTATGTTTGTGGTTCCGGTATAAAATCTGTAACCGTTTTTTCGATAACTTCTATTTGTCCAAATGTTGGAAGTATTTTCCCATTTTTGGTCATATTAAAAGTTTTGTTATTCTGATGATGGAAAAAATTATTTTTTTCTTTTTAGTGCAGTTACATATATTAATAAAATTTTATTTTTTAAAGTGATTTGTTTTGACTTGGAATCATGCCTAAAATTAAAAACAACACCATACAAACCCGACTTACTCAAACTTTTCAAGGAAATGCAAGTACATTGTTCGCATTAATAAATATTTATTAAGTATTAAATTTAGTTTTATTTAGTGTAATAAAAGTTTACTAAGCAGATTTGCCTCCCAATTTTTTTTTGAAATTGTTGTAATGTTCATATTTGGCTCTTTGGCAAATAAGTTTGCCGACCACTGGCTTAGTGGAACAAGAGCAAAGCTTACGAGTGCTGCCTGTTTAGGATAAAAGTACTTTCGCGAAGAATTTCTAACGTAATTCGGTTCGTATTCACGTTGCACGTACGGGAACCTGCGAAACAAATCTTGAAACCAGTTTATTTGCCAGAATCTGAACCTCGGTTGAATTACTGTGTTCAGCGATTTTAACATTTCGATTCACCATTTTTAATGCAACTAGTAAAATACTTCCCTATCACTTTAAAATAGGAGATGAAAGAAGAAATCCGAAATCAATTTTCAGGACTTTTACTAACGATGGTGGCGTATGCTTTCTTGAAGTAGTCTTTCATTCTCTCAGTCAGATGAAAGTCAACTACTGAATTCGAATTAATTGAAGGTAGAGACACGGCCCATACAGAATCAGTTTCTAATCACTCACCTGTCCATCCATTCTAACTGCATAAAAGGGTAGTCAATGAAGCATTTATAGCTTCATTACTACCCTTTTGTATATTTAGGGTTTCCATACATGACAGAGATCTGAATTTAAAGCACGGAGGAACAAGGTATCTCTTTTGATTCAGTTAAGATTCTGCCCTGAAACAGTTATCGAGACCGTGTTGTACTATGGCTTTAATTTCCTGCAGGAATGAATGATTCACGGCAATGCTGGGAATATTTGTGTCTGTCACCTCACATCAACAGGTGGAATGGATTAGTAAGTATATGAACTACGAAGAGAAGCAGGTAATTGCCATCAATCCTAACATTCATCGAAGCCATTAGTTTCCTTAAGGGCCGTTGCCACTGGGGTTTATCTGAGTTAACGGAGACAACTGACGTAGCCGACCCATCTCCAAAACCAATTTTTCCCCATAGGGCAACAAGTTGAAAAATCTGAACTGCAGACATAGCAGAGCTAGTCGACACAGGAAACTGACTCCGTTAGCTCAAATAAACCCCAATGGGAACGGCACTTTAGAGGTTCTGTGGAGTGGTATTCTTTTAAGCCGATGTAGATCCTCTTTAGGTAGGCAGATGAGAACATCAATGCTTAGAAGTTAGAAGCAATATTAAGATCTTTTGTAAGCTCAACAGGAGATATGTTATATACTAACACTGTATATAACATATCTCCTGTTGAGCAACAGGAGATATGTTATAACGCTCATCCACACTGAGCTCATCCATTAAACAGCCATTATGTTCAAGGGTGGACCAGCTAAAGATTAAATTTTACCGTCTTGAGCATGTGTAAGATAAAAAAGATCATGAAAGTGCATTTTTCATTTTTGCACCTTTAATACAAAGTAAAAACATAAGTACATCCGTGTATACAAAACAGAAGATTCTTCGAATTTGTTAATATTATGTAGATAAATAATTTTTTTTCAATGACTAAAAATCTGTCGTTCTGAAAGACAAATTTGGAAAATTTGAGGAACATTGAGATTCCGTGAAGTTAAATGAAATCTAAAAAATGAATTTAGTTTGAAAATTTAATCAAAAGCGAAAAATTAAAAAAAAAAAAATTAGTTATATAAAAAAAGAGGGGAAGAAAAAGAAAAGGAAATCAAAAGAGAATTTTATTTGAGTTCTTTTTTTCTTTTTTCACTTTTCATGCTTATTATTTAAGAAGTATTACGGACTAGTTATCGGTCTAGTCTAATTCTTTAGAAGTAATACGCGAATAAGTTTAAAAAATGTGTGTGTATTATAATAGTAATACTTAAATACGTGTATAAAAATAATATTTACAATCAATAGTCGACAATCAAAAGGAACATGGAGTAACCATGAAAATGTCAGCATATTAATAGGGAAACCGTCTGAACACATTTTTGAATCAGAGGTTTTCTTTTGTTTTAAGTAGTTCTCTTTGTAAATCTCTGTGCCTTCCGCTATTTGAGAACAGTCTCTCATCATCTTGAAAATATTGCTAACAGATAGACAGGAAAGAGAAAAGAGTAGTGATATGATGTTAAATTGAGTTCAAATTGTAGAGCCATTAGAATTTTTTGAATACAGGAGACATGAAAAATGAGGAATGTCCTGCCGGGACTCGAAACACGAAACTCTCGAATACGCTTCGAGCTTGCTTACCACTACACCTTGAGGGCATTAATACCTTATATACTCCCCCGTTTAAAGAGCGACTGAGATTTTAGAGGACCTAGTCGCCAAATCCTGGTGGTAAAGAATCATCATTCACCAGCTTTTAGTTCGGGTGCCACTGTGAAGACATTAGGTTATTTCGAAGCAGGAGATAGGAAAAATGAGGAATGTCCTCGCTGGTACTGGAATTACGAACCTCTCGAATACGCGGCGATCGTGCTGACCACTACACTACGAAAGCATGATAAGAAGGCGGGAGAAATACTTTATAAAAGGAACTGAATCTCAAAAATTCTGCATTAATTTAGTTCATGAGACTATTTTCTTATCCATTCAAAAAGGAGGGTATATACCAGAGTTGGCCAAACTTCATGTCTATAAAAGCCGAATTCATGAATGTTCGAGAGCCGCATCTATATTTTCTAAAAGCTACAAGTTCATATTTACATCATTGTAGAAGTAGTGTAGGAGGTTTTAAACAGAAATAAATCCCTGATAACTTTGTAAAAAGAGTCTAAACTAATTAATTACTTCTTTTTGGACAATGAATAGTTTTATTTTACCATATTTCATACATATATTTTATATGCACGAGCCGCACAAATTGCCTGCGAGAGCCATATCAGACTCGCGAGCCGCACTTTGGTCTCCCTGGTATATACAGTAGAAAGGGCTATCGCTACTTCCTTTGTGCTCTCTTAAGTTAAGTGGTCCAGCTACCGAATGGATCCGAATCGTGCGATGTCACAGTTGTCACCTTTCTCAGGTTTCTACGCTTAG